TATTCATACAGTTGTCCATCACGGCTTGTCCGACCCATTTGGAAGGTCAAACGAGCTCCGAAGCGAGCATACCCCTCGTTTCGACGATTTTCATGTACTATAGCACACGATTTTTTGGGTGATCCGGATTCCGACGTCAAAAATTCCAAATTTTTTCGTGGACGTCCGTCAAGACCTTGTCTAACATATGGTTGGCTATCACTGCTTGTCCGACCCATTTGGAAGGTCAAACAGGCCCCGAAGCGAGCATACCCCTCATTTCGATGATTTTCGTGTGCTATAGCACACCATTTTTTGGGTGATCCGGATTCCGACGTTAAAAATGCCAAATTTTTTTGTGGACGTCCGTAAAGACCTTGTCTATGCATACGGTTGGCCATCACGGTTTGTTCGACATATTTGGAAGGTCAAACGAGCCCCGAAGCGAGCATACCCCTCATTTCGACGATTTTCGTGTGTTATAGCACACCATTTTTTGGGTGATCCGAATTACGACGTCAAAAATGCCAAATTTTTTCGTGGACGTATGTCAAGACCTTGTTTATGCATACGGTTGGCCATCACGGCTTGTCCGACTCATTTGGAAGGTCAAACGAGCCCCGAAGCGAGCATACCCCTCATTTCAACGATTTTCGTGTGCTATAGCACATCATTTTTAGGGTGATCCGGATTCCGACGTTAAAAATGTCAAATTTTTTCGTGGACGTCCGTCAAGACCTTGTCTATGTATACGGTTGGCCATCACGGCTTGTATGACCCACTTGGAAGGTCAAACGAGCCCCTAAGCGAGCATACCCCTCATTTCGACGATTTTCGTGTGCTATAGCACACCATTTTTTGGGTGATCCGGATTTCGACGTCAAAAATGCCAAATTTTTTCGTGGACGTCCGTCAAGACCTTGTTATAGACCAGAAATTCAGCCAATCCTTGTACAAATCAACTTGTATTTGTCTTCTACAAATCCTTGTTGACTTCTACTAACTCTTTTACTAAAAACCTTATTGTACTCAAATTATTTTTTAGTAGTTTTCCTTAACCAAGTAGACTACTCTAAACAAAACGTACATATAAGTTACCATCTATAACTAAACACTACTCGTACGCCGCCTCTTACGCTGCCACTTACACCCTGTTGCATTGTTTCACTGGAACATGTTGTGTTACCTGTTCAATACTATTTTGCCATTTTCAAAATCTCAAGATTAACAATATAGTTGAAACGGCTTGTCATCTTTACAAGCAAACACAAACTATCCTTGAACATGATCGATGTGATAACATTAAGATTTCAGGAAATACCAATAATGTAAAACCAGAGGGAGCCCATGTGATAGCTAGTTGGCTTGCGCATCAATTCGTGCCAAAATTTTTAGGAGAAATTAAAAAAGAATGTTAGCATTTAATACAAGTGTGCTATAATACCTTCTGCATCGGAGTATTAAGAACGGATCTTTGAGTTATTATATTAAGCAGAGACAGTAGCAGGGCAGCTCTCCTTTGGCGTATCGGTTAAAATATGCGATACAGTGAATTGGAGTCACTGTACATATATTAACGCATGCCAATAGAGAGTAGCCCTATCACTATTTCCCTTATTTTCATTCACCAACGACTTCCTTTCTCATGCTTCCGCTTCATCACAAGAGAGCCCTTCCATGCTTTTATAGAGCATTTGTTCTCAGTTTAAGAGATGGAATAAACCACTCGAGATATGAGATATCCTATGGCTTTTATGCATGATGGGGTTGAAATGAGGGTAACTTTCTTATCTCTTTACAATTCCATTTTGTGAAAGCTCCTTTAAAAAAAAATGTGTTCATCAGATTCCCCAGTTGCCTTCTCCATAAATTTGTAGGTGTAAATGCGGAAACAAAAAAAGTTGTTCAAACCAAGAGATGCTCTATTATTTCACCTTTGAAATTTGTCATTTGACTCAAAAAGTTGTGACTAAGGAGGCAAAGGACCTTAAAACAGCATATCCTCTGCATATTCCTCTCTTCTTTATTTCCATCTGTATTATACTTCTATATATGAATAGGTTTCATTTCTATATAATTTTTAAGATTGCAAAATTTTTAGATGCTAGGTAATCAAGATCACTTAGTTCCTTTTATATATATTATTATCACTCAAGTGTGTTATCATACTTCTGTAATTTGAAATGATTAAGGTTAGTAAAGTGAACTACAACATTATTTCCAGGATATGTTTCGTGTTTTAGCTATTACAGTCCAAATTCTATATTCGCATTAAAGAACGACTAAATATGTCTACTCAACGCATGACCTCCGGAAATTGGAATATTAATTAAAATTTAAAAACATTTGTAAATTGAAAAGTGAAGGTCCTTGACTCGTAAACTTAAGTGTCAAATGGCATACTTGGAACGCATAAAATCGAGAAGCATCTAAAAATTGAATTCATGAACAATGCAAGAGGAAGAATCTGATGAATTTTTATTTTTTTTAAAAGAGCTTTCACCAAATGGAATATGTAAAAGATAAGAAAAGTTACTGTCCCATTTCTGACTTTAGAAAAAGCAACCCTTAATGCAAGAAGATATATATCTACAGGTCACACAGCATAAAAATAAATGATAGGATATGCCGATTCTCTAGGGGTTTATTCCGTTTCTTGAATTGAGAAGGAACGCTCTATAAAAACATTGAAAGGCTCTGTTGTGATGAACCAGAAGTAGAAAAATGAGAAAGAAAAGTTCGTGAACGATAGTAATTGTAAGGGAAACAGTGATAGGGCTACACTCTATTGGCATGCAACTTGATCAAATATTTGAGCTGAAATGCCAAAGGAGAGTTGCCCTATTACTGTCTCTACTTAATGTAATGTAATTACACGCATGTTGCAGTACTTAATATATATGAAATTAGGTCTTAGGCCTAATTCACACCCCAAAAGCTAGCTCAAAGGGAGGAGGATTGTCCAAGCCTTATAAGGAGTTCACCCATCTCATTAATCACCGATGTGGAACTTTTGTCATTCTTTAACAATATATACTGTGATGCAAAAGGTATTGTTATACTTGCCTTGACTAAAATTTACATTGGTTGTTCTTCTTTGTAGCAACAACCCTTAATTATATTATCGCCTTAGCTAAGTCCCTTCTATTTGTTGCCATTAACTTTAACTCGACTCTATGTTTTAGGTGTAAATGTCAAGGCAAAAAATATTATTGCTAACAAAATTTAACATTGAAAAAACTATCATTCGGAACAAAATCATGAACAAGAACTCTTTTCGTAAAAGCTGTAGTTTTACTTGATAATTTTTGTCTGGTGCTATGACTACGAATGAAAATATCCATAGTCATAGCAGGAAAGGGGCGAGCGAGCTTCATAATCTCTTACGTGCCTTACCTAGTGTTAGTAGTGTACTGCAATTGTCCATCGCTTTGTTCTTCAATCTAAAGAAGAAGGTGTTAGACGGTGTTACAATTTTTCAATTTTTTTAAAAAAAAATGTAACGCCGTCCGTGCTTTTTGTTACGAAGTGACAAAAAAAATATTCAAAAAAAAACATTTCAGAAAAGGGACTCATAAAAGTAATCATGTCTGTCACTTTTCTGCTTTTTTTATTTCAGCAGACACTAAACACCAGCAATAAAAATACAATTCAATATACAACCATTTCAAACAAACCAAACAACTAATCATGTACAAACAAATAACATCGTTAAACACTATAATCACAAAATAAAGACTTATTAAGTCTTTAAAAAATTCTACAAAATGTTCTCTTAAGTTTCAAAATTCATAAAATAACAATACAAAAGGAATGTTGAAGGGTGGAGGCTATGTATTATCTTAATGATCACTTTCGAAGACCCACTTGGAGAACGGGACGCCTACGCCGACGAGTGAGATTAATCACTTGTTGTTTGGATTTCTTCAATGGTCCTGCTCATGCTTATATTTTGAGCAATTCGTTGTGCCTCAGACTCTTCCAAGGCACGTGTAAATTGTGTGATTCACAGTTATTTGAATACTGTCACTTTTTCCTTCCAAATTGAGAAGCTTGTTCATGCATATGCTGGATCGGATTGCCCAAGGATTCTTAAGATTGATTGAACTCAAGCAGGTGTAGTTCATACTCTCTCTGCATATTAAAAGAAAAGTTAGCATCAAAATATAGAAAAGGCATAATACATAATTGTGCCTTTTAACTTGGCTTCGAATCACATTTACGCCCTTCAACTTTGGGTGTGCACAAGTAGACATTTAAACTTGTATAAAGTTGAACAAATGAACACACGTGTCCTACATGTCATTTTTTGTCCTATATGATGTCCTACGTGTATTGTGTCATGTAGAACTCATGTGTTTATTCATTTAGAAGCTGGATAGTTAAAGTGTTTGTTTGTGCATTATGAAAGTTGAAGGTCAAAGTTAAAATTTGAAGCCAAGTTTAGGGTCCAATATATGTATTATGTCTATAAAAAAGATAATACTCCCTCTATTTATTATTTATGTGATTTGCTTTTTTTTAGTCAGTTTTAAAAAAAAATGACACATTTTTATGTAAATAACAATTTAACTATTAAATGTCTATTTACTCTTATTGAAATGATTTACGGCCACACAAATTTCTATCATTTATTTTGGATCACAAATTCTAAAAGTCTTTCTTTCTTAAACTCCGTGTCGAGTCAAACTATCTCACATAAAATGGGACGAAAGGAGTAGATGATAAGGAATGCTCCCCTCAAGCTACCAAACCAATTCATCATTCAGTTGGGGCTCCCCTACAATCAACAAAATAGAGATCCTTCGTGATTCTATAGCCCAAGAAACTTTGAGCCAACTCATTGTTGTACTTGTAGGTAGATTATATGTTCATGATTTTGTTCAAGTTAACCGGCCTTATACATATTTTTGTCTCCCAAATAAACATGATGTGGTAACATTAGACTTTATGGGAATATGCATGATATAATAATTAGTTGGATCAACATCAATTCTTTCTAAAAAGGTAAGAGAAATTAAAACCAATGTAAACATTTAATTCAACTATATATTGGCATGCATCGTTATAGGGCTATACTCTATTGGCATGCAGCATTTTGGGGGGCTCCATACAGCAGTGACCAAATATTTGATTAACATGCCAAAGGAGAGTTGCCATGTTACTGTCTCTGCTTAATATAATGTAATTAGACGCATCTTGGTTCGGTTTACGTGATACATTGTTACCCTAAACTTTAACTGGACTCCATGTTTTAGATGGAAATGTCAATGCCAAAAATATTGATTCTTCCAAAACTCAACACTGGAAAAACCCATCATGAACAATAAGATTAATTTCATCCGCAATCAGTCCATATTGAAACCAGAATAACCGAGGAAATGGGTAATTGCTTGTCCCGTGGACAAACCTCTAAAGTCAAAAGTTAAAAAGAACCAACTTTAAGGGCAGGCCGTCTTAACCTGTAGGCCGCCAAAGCCATTGTCTGGGGGCCCAACTTTTAAATAAAGATTACTTAGATTTTTTTAAAAAATATTATATGTACTATGAGTGTTATGATTTCTACAAATGAAATTGCCTATGAGAAAAATATAGAATAATTTCGTAAGAAACAATTTGATGAAAATATTGATAACGGAATCATAAAGTCCCTTGAAATTACAGTTGATTACTTTATATATATGATTGATCAAGCTATTTTTTCAGTTTAAAATAGAATTAAACCAATTGAAGCATATGAAAATATTTTTGTTTCTTATTTAGTGGTAATTTGATATCACTAGATGATGAGAATTGTTTTATAAAATAGTGTCTTAACCTTGAATTTTCTTTAACACCGAATAATTATTCTGATATTAATGGTTTATATTTATTTTTTGAATTTAAAATGTTAAGACAATAATACAAGTAGAAGATAATGATCTAATAAAAATACTCAATCAAATAAAAGACTCGATTATTTTTCAAATACGCATATTGTTTATTGAATAATGTCTGGAGTTACTATAATTGTTGCCTCAACCGAGATTTTTTTCGAAATTAAAATTGATTAAATCTTATTTAAGATCGAAAAAACAATGTCTCAAGAGAGATTAACATTTTATTTGGATCATTGTTACCCATTGTTTCATAATGTATTGTATTGTATTGTACTCTATTGTACTGCATTCTATGATAGATACTATGTTTGACTAGTGTCATGCCGCGAGCCTACACCCTGGACGTGGCCGGCACCCCATGACCATTTCTGGCCTTGATCGAACCCTTGACCTGACTTACTTAACTCAGCAGAAGATTTAACTCAATGATAAAATAGGACACATTCTCATAAATACGGCCAAATGACACTTAAGTATCAAAATATAACATTTGAAATAAAAGAGACTCAACTAAACTAACTGACTATCCGTCTATGAAGCCTCTAAAATACTTTGATGAATGTTGGGATAGACCCCACAACATTCTGAAATAGAAAGACTGGAAAGCATAAAAAGGATCCTCCGGAATGCAAGGAGGCTCACCATTGACTCTGAATGCTCAAACTGGATAATGATGCACTGGATGTTGATCCAGGTTTCCTGCGTCTACATCATAAGATGATGCAAGCCAACTGGCATCAGTATATTGACTGTACGAGTATGCAAGTTGAAATGCTAACAATAACTTAAGGTTTGATCGCAATAAGAAGAAACTTACCTTGGCTCTGCTCAACTCCTGAATACTCAACTCAATATATATAAGGCAAATAAAATACATGCAATATACATAAAGCTTTGTAAAACAACTTAGTTCGTTAAAAAATGCAATAGCAAACTCAACTTTACTTATGTATGAAAGTAATATAGTTTCTGTGGGAGATTCTCTAACTGACAACCACCACTGTGAGCCCAAATGGTGATACAGTGTCTCGCCCACGTTGCAGAACTGTCCTACACTTTGTCGTCGTATTGAACCTTTCAACTTAGTGGATCCACTAGCTTAACTTACGTGATCATCTAAAAAGTATGACTCGTTAAAATCCATGATGAATACATGATTTACATGAAGACTTGAGTTGATATGAACTCTCATCCCCACATCAGTGCTCAATACTATTCCCAAAATATAATTTAGCTTAAAATAACTTCCTTCCTTTGGGTTGAGATAATTTGCTCAACCCTTTTAGCTTTAAAAGCCCTCTAGGAATCAATGTTCCTTTTTCTTGTTCAAAACTCTGTTGGAAAACTTAGTTTCCTCTTAAATTAAATGTGAAAAACATTTATAAACTTTTAGGAAATACTTATCTCCCTTATAACTGTTGAGAAATGAATTTAACTCTTTACTCTTTGCTTAATTTGAATCTTAAATCAACTCTTAGGGAATACTTAGTTCCCTTATATTTCATTTGAAGAAAAGACTTCAACTTTTATTCTTCACTTTAACTTGAACTAAAGCCTTCAAACGAAGTTAAAATGTTTGATAAAGACTCTTGAAAACCTTTTAGAACTTTGCTTTGAACTAGCTTCTTAGTTTTATTTAGACTTGACTCTTAACTTTCTTGATTTTGATCTTAACTTTCCTTGAATGGATTATGGATTCAAGGTTATGATTTGAGTTATTTAGTGATTTTCCGGTGTTCAGAGATCATTTGAAGTAATTTGAATCATCAGAAGGTGTTAATGTAACTTAGAAGGACCTACGACGGCTAAACTACGAAAATTGAGCGAAAAACGCCGATCCGGGCGTACTGGTTGCGCGCCGCACCAGCCCCAGTTGACTGAAGCTTGGTTATGGTGCCCTGGTGGCGTGCCGCGCCAGGGCTCAGTTGATTGCAGTCAAATTTTGGCGCGCCGCGCCTGCCCCTA